GTATCGAGTTCATTAAGTTTTAAGTAAAATCTGAAGACTAAATGAAAAAGGCAAAACATTACGGTGAATATAAGATATTTTCGTCCAGCCCAAATGTATTGGTTACTATAATTTCAAATCTGTAATTGTAGAATAAAGTAAATGGTTACATTGGCTTTGCTAATGAAGTATGTACGTAATAATAAAAAATGTTGCTGGAAAACCAGTTTTGTGATACATGAGAATAGCCTTATTTATTATCGGATACAATAACAGGCACCATGAGCATGTGGCTTAAAACATAAAATTATAGACTTCAACAAAATGCATAACATTGTGATAGGTAAATAGCGGCGGAAGCAATAGCACTGCTATGCAATGGCCGTGGGATAAATTTAGCTCACAGTTGAGTAAAGGATTTCGACCCGTCTGGGCTGGTCTTAATTCGACTCCAGCGCAGTGGCGAGGAGCAGGATCTCTTCTGTGCTAACACGAGGAAATGATCTTCCCAAAAAAAATGGAAAACGCGATTGTACTCTCCGGTGGTATAGATTAACGAGAGTCAGCAATGCGGTGGTCAATTTTTTGTACTCTCCTAGGGATGTCAGTTGATCTAGTGCGGAAGAGTACATCTCGCCCCAGACTTTGAACTTAGTCAGCCCTAGATCACCTAAAAACTCGAGGTCGACCATTATTTCCAGAGTTATGCCGTGAATCTCAGCATCCATGAGGAACCGATAGANAAACTACAAGATAGGATCAGATTTAGTATGCTGTGTGTAATGGCTTGGTTCAGTGGGAAGTGGGACCAGTGCTCCACCAGAGGGCTAAGTGCTCCAACAGATGAGCTGAGTGTTCCACTATGAAGGCTGAGTGCTCCACAAACAGAAATAAGTGCTGGAGAGGGCTATTTCGTGGGCAAGTACCCCATTAAATGGTTAAGTGCTTATCAGTGCTTTGACTGGGCAAAGCACAATGACGGAATTGCCCCTTTGTATGCTGTCCCTTAATATCTGCCAGTGGAACCCCCTATATCTATATATATGGGGGCATTTCGTGAAGAGAAGGCATCAAGACCGTGTAGGTCTTGCATTAGGCATCAAGACTATGTCTTGTGCAGAAGGAGAGGGTCTCCAAGAGGAAGATCTAGACCATGAGGGTCTCAGATCAAAAGTGGTATCAAGACTGTAAGAGTCTTGTGCAGGAGGAGAGGGTCTCCAAGACCAAAATCAAGACTGTAAGAGTCTTGTGCAGAAGGAGAGGGTCTTCAAATGAAGAAGAGGGTCTCCGAGACGAAGACGAAGTGGTGCTAAGGCTGGGCATGGGCAGGTCTTAGTGTGTCATGATCGGCTTGTGATCTTGACTAAGTGGGCTATGAACGACTTGTGTTCATAGCAAAGAAACGGAAACAGGTTAGGAAGGTGATTCTTTCTAAGTGTTTCCAAAAGTGGGCTAAGGCTGGAGCGTAGGCAGGTCTTAGTAGTTATGAACGACTTGTGTTCATAGCAAAATGGGAACCAAGAGGGAAACGTGAGAGTTTCTAAGTGTTTCCGAAAGTGGGCTAAGGCTGGAGCGTTGGCAGGTCTTAGTGACAAGATCTATTTGTGATCTTGGCCGGACGAAGTGGGCTGTGAACGGTTTGTGTTCATGGCAAAGAGAGGTCCTTTGTATGTTTTGTGATTAATACAAAGGTTGGGTTTTTTCCGTAAATGTTGGTGTTCTCTTTATGTTGCTGCCGAATTTTGTGGGNGATTAATACAAAGGTTGGGTTTTTCCCGTAAGTGTTGGTGTTCTCTTTGTGTTGCTGCCGAATTTTGTGGGAAGCCAATCTTGATGAAAAGTTGGCTAAGTGTTGGAAAAGGCTGAGTAACTTGAGTGTCAGGTTGCTGTCGCGCGGTGTCAAGTTGGGCACGAAAAATTGGCCCAAAACGGCCCCGTGACAACTGGTATCAGCATCTTAAGCACGTGAAGTTGATCTACCCACATGGGATCTCCCGGATCTTTATGAGATGGCTTTGACGACAGCTGGATTGCCACTTTGTCCACTTGTTCGGCAGTCGATTGGTTTGACGATTTTTATAATGGAGTGGCGGAGACCACAAAGTTCATAAAGAGTTTTAAATAGGGCCGAAGACACGGGGTCCCCACAGTGAGCGGCTTTTCTCATAAATCCCAGCCTTATTCCGCGATACTAGCAACCCAACGCTGCTCGTTTTCTTTGCACTGCCCATGTCTTGCCCCACGATCATTCTTATTCGGGCCGCTGGTCGTTCAGTCCGGGCGAGATTGATGAGCGAAAAAAACCCGGAAGTGGTCGAGTTAGTCAGATCTCAGCTGCCGTTAGCCAGCTTCGCTCTATACCCTAACGTTTCCGGCGAAGGCTTCTTAATGCCTACAACGATCACCTATACTGGACCTGGCCAAATTGTGGATCGCCATCAAGGGGCGGCTTATCTGTACGCGCCGGGGCAGTCGATTGTCGTGACGTATGGTCAGACGCACGAAAGCGCGTGTGTCAATAGGTTTGCAGAGGTTCTCCAGGAAGATCTATCAGAGCTGACGGCGATGGGGAGTGCAGTTTACAGCGACACCTTGGCGACCGCACAGCATAAAGTGGTATCCATTGAGGTCAGCATACCTGGTGACGAGAATACACCATCGATCGCTCTATATGCCCCTCAGAGCGTCCAATTTGGTAGCAGCTGGAAAGATGTCGAAGCCATCTTTTTCGCCGAAGCAATACGCGCGCTCAGTACCGAACCCGGAGAGATCCGCACTTGCTTCGCGGGAATCATTCCGAGTGGCATGGGAACCGGCGGGAACGCTCTTCCCGTTTGGATGCACCAGTGGAGCTATTTGATGACTGATGGTCCAAATACCCTCTATCGGTTCCTCATGGATGCTGAGATTCACGGCATAACTCTGGAAATAATGGTCGACCTC